TTACGGATACCCCAGGAGCCGCGCGCCGGCAAGAAGGCCAAGTCGGCGACGAGTGCGCACGTAGGACGAGTTGCGCACGTTACTGTAGATTTTGCATTATTAAAGACAAGATTCGGGATAAAATAGGTGTGGAAAAGCGTTCAGTTATGAAGCTATAGGTGGGAGGTGGTCTGTAAAAGAAGGAAAGCAAACGAAACCACCGATTACGCCCCGTACAGAGACCTCCCCTATTTCAGCCACATTCCACCTTGGGATAGAGAAGAGGCGAATTGGACGAGTTTCACGAACCTAACTCTACTTGCTCCAGTGTCAATAACATTGGATCGCGCTGGGACCACTGCCTCAAATGCGCCCGCGCTTTTCAAGCAGCGCCACGTGGCAACCGACAGCGAAGGGTGGGGCTTGCGGACGAAGGTGTGAGTTGCGGGTTGGACGAGCTCCTTGCGCCTTTGTCGCGTACTTTCAAGCCGCAAAAGGGGCCCGACATCAACACTTGTCCACCTGCCTATCTATCCCATGATGAACAGGCGGGCCGCCATAATACGGCCAGCGTGCTTCAAATACCAGTGTCTGTCGTGACTCTCGTACGACCTCTACGCGCAGTGTCTGTCGTCACGTCTCATCTGTCAAGCTACACGCGCAAGAGTCGGAAGATGTTTAAAGGTCGGGTCGTCAGAGTTCCGCATTGGGTCCTATCGCGCATATGTCGAGTACGCAGCAGTTCCCGCCAATTCTGGTTCTGGAAGTTCCCGCTCATTCCAGCGTCAGTCGTCTCCAGCGTCACCGTCACGGACGGTCGTCTCACGTGTCGTCTCCTGTGTTGTCCTGCACAGTCGTCTCTTCCTCACTGTTGCCGATCCTGTATTCCTACTCTCTTCGTTCGAGCGCATAGCCCTTATTGCGCAGTCGGCTGAGGATTCCCGCAGCACCCGTTCTGGTGTGAAGGCGCAGTTGTCCGTCCCCCGGACAACCCTTGGTGCGCGAATGGTATGGAACACGAGGACGCCAAGCCCCGATGGCCAGGATGGAGTGCGCAGGAACCCTCGTCCCTCTACGGACAGTGCCCGGACGTGCCGAACGCCCCCCGGCTAACACTGTCGCGCAAGGACGAGGGGGCTCGTGGTATCGGCGACCCCTAATGAGGCGAGGACACCATCCCGTAGGTTTAGTAGTCTTAAGTTCGCATATTGTGTAATAGGCATAAAGCCACCTTTTACTATTTGTGTTCTGTTATGTACGAAGTAACGCGCAGAAAGTGAAGCGCATTCTTTAAATACTTTATTCACTTTCTTTCACAAGTGCGGTTTCTTAGAAAATCAATATCTGTTGACCGCAATTACTAACAACGTCAATATCAATGTAACATGGTCATGGTAAGCGGGAGGTTAGTAGCGCAGGCGACAGGCAACATCTTGGGAAGTGCAGGATGGGTCAAGCGCATCTGCCGTCATCAGGAAAGCGCAGTGGACTTCCGACAGGAGGACAGAACAAGGGGCAGCGGAGGATGAGGACCGCAGGTAGCGTGGCAGGCAAATGCAGGCGCGTGTCCCTCCGCACATCATCTAAAATCACGGCACCGGTCAGCAAGCCGCTCGTACGTCTTCTTGCCCCACGCTTGCCGCACCGGCGTCGCGACAGTGGTCCACTCGTACGTCCTACTATTCGCACAACACGCCGCTGCAACTCGTCCGCCGACTGCCTTCTTGCCTCGCGACCTCGCGACGGGCCTCCTGGGGGGTACCCGTCATTACGAGATGGCGGGTCACAGTCCGTGAATCGAAAGATCAAAAAAAATCACCAATTTGACCTCCGGATCACAATTTAGTTAAAAAAACCATCGGAAATATTGATTCTATTCTTCTATCCATAATTTACCGCTTTGGGACCCATCGTTCACGATAAAACGAAAAGAGCAAAAAATTGCAATGTTGTTAACACGTTGACGACAGCGTGACGCGGTAACGCGTCCCACTTTGCGCACCTCGTGGGACATTGTGACGCGGTAACGCGTCCCACCCAAGTCATCCCTTTTTCTTGCGCTTGTGCGACTTATTCCTAAGGTCTTTGTACTCATTCTATAGGTCATACATTAGCATACTTAAAAACCACATGGCTCACAGAAAGGCCAAATATTCTTTAGTTTGGCAGACGTTTTCCAGACCTTACGGATATGTCTGTTCAATTCATTCCTCGTTTTCTTTTCAATAACGTAGACATGTTGATAAAAAGGAATAACAGAAGTGAATACAAACCTACTCGTATGGGAAGATATGTGTTTTTACTGAAACAACCACGTCCAAATTAATTTTGGAACCACTAAAGGGAAAGTAAGTAAAATTCTCCTCTTCATGACCTTAACATGTGATTTTCGGTCAAACTTCCATTACTGTACAGTCGAGATCCGAAAGTTGGGGTAGGCGTGTCACCGGAAGTGACGTGGACTTGATAGAAGTTGCGTAGATAAGTCGTTGCCAGCATGCTTTGCTGATATCTCGCGATGTATATTGGAAGCCCCTTATCCACATAGATTCTATCAAGTACACGTCACTTCCGGTGACACGCCTACCCCAACTTACGGATCTCGAGTATATAACTGATAAGATAACAGGTTGAACATCTATTAAAACATTTCATCGCATATAAGTGTTGCGGATTTACAGCCTGAAATCCATGAATTTGGCGGCTGCTCTCGCAAAATCACTCTTGTCCCATGCGGTGCAAAAGCACAAAACGCGCAATGTCGTCATTGCGTTAAAAAATTGAAAAACGAAAGCGCTGCTACCGTTCCAAATACCGCTGGACATCTGTCACAGCATTTCAAGGCGACGAATGCTTCACTGGATTCGGAGTGCCTGACTAAAACTCTGTCTGGCCTTTTGACTTATGCACTAACATCTCACACTTCCACTGCATCCTGTTCTATCGATCGATTTTTCTCTACTCTCCAAAATCGCACGCTTTACCCATTCGTTCATTTCATCGCCTGATACGTAGCCGCCTCAAGGCGGACTTCCTTCCATGTCCCACCCTTGGCTCCGCGCCAATTACCTTCGTCGTCCATAGTGTGTTTTTTGTAGATCTGTTTCTCTTCGGAAACTGAATCTTTGCGCGTGAAACTTTCTATGTTGTCACTAGTGATCACAAGTGACATATGCGTGTAGCCGAGATTTTTCGGGAAGGATTCCTTCACCATAGGAGGTAGCCGAAAAGAGTGAGACGAGTCCATCACATGCCAGCGGGCTGACTGCAGCTGGAAGCTGCTGCAGCTTACTACCTGCAGCTACGTTGGGGGTTAAATAATGACTTTCAGCATGACGGCGAAGGGCGCGACAGGGTTGTGCTGTAGCTCTTGCACACCTGTGCGTCTCCCGTAGCTCAATGGCGGTCCCACAGCGGGACCCTTTCCGCACCGCATAAGCGGTTAGCGGAGGACAACACACTGCGTTACGGCCCATACATAGTCGTCGCCGGCCGTAACGACCGCAACGACCGCACAGCAATAAGATACGTATCGACCGCCTGACGTGCGACACATGCGATCGCAACGATCGCTGCGTCGCACAATCGATACGCATCTACTACTCCACACTCGCAACAAATAGAGCTTTCGAAATGCTGTGACGCGTATTCAAGTGTTTCGTTTTGCACAGGGCCACCGCGCAAGCCCTCCACTAATTGCGACCACGCTAATTGCGAGTTACGACGATGGACCGCACTATAGGCCGATGGTTTGACGATGACGGATGACTTTTGCGAATCGCGCGAATTCAGCTACTAGCGAATCGCTGCGATTCGCAAAGTCTGACATCGGCCTAACTGCTCCCTAGGTAGCTCTCACCCCACCCACCCCCTCTATTGTCCATCATACACGAGTGCTACGCTTCAATCTAATGTTAACATTGTTTAGGTGAGGGATGAGACTGTAGGGAATCAAACGAGTAGCCCTCCCGCCTTAGTACCTTTGATGTCTTGACGGACAAAGTAACTGTGGAATAAGGAACTGAATATAAGCCTTGCGTGTTGCTCTTCGTTGGCCAGAGCATCCCGTGAGTCATATCGCATAAGTAATCCGCTTTTCTGCAGGGGAGATAAGCCCGGGCTGGTCCTAAAAGCCTAAAGCAACAATGCCGGTTCACGCCACAGGCGTTTCCCCTCATTCAGATTGGAATTCTTTTAGCAACAGAACGTCGCACAAACAGTCTTTTCCTCTCCCCCCCCTACTGTATGGGATCCTATCTGAGTGTTTTTTCCTTCTTAAACAAAACAACACAAATTCTCGCCGTAGTTCCCAATGTATTGAGCGCCTCACCGTTCTGCGTCGTTTTAGGTGCAGTGGATGTGACTGCGGATGCTGACCGTTCTGAGGCAATTTTCTTTGCTTTGCATTCTTTTACTTCTCTTCCTTATTTTATTTAGTCTCACTCTAGAGAGAGAGTTCTGTATTCTCTGCTTACTTTCCCCAGGAACGCGTTCCTTATTTCAATATTATTGATTAATTTGGCTTAGTTTATTCGATTGCCTTCAATGACCTCCAACTTCGACGCACGTTAGGACACATTTTGCAATCCTATTTGCGTGCTGGCCGATCATTATCTGTTTCTCAGGTCATAATTTCAAGCTTTATTGCTTAGGTTCCTGATGTGAGTTGTCATGTTCTCGTGAGAAAGTATCACCTTAAATGACACAGTATAAACCCTGTAGCCTTCTTAATGTAAGTTTCTGATTTATCGCTCTTCCATCCTGGTGCTGGAAACTTATGCCTCGAAGCAAAAAGGTTCTTATCATCTCGCACCTCGAACGTTCGGTGCTGAATCTTTGTTTTGTTTTCATTTCGTTATCGATTTTCGACGTTGTCTTTCCCAGCTGGTGACACATGTCAAACCAGATACTATTAAGGGGAAATGAAATGTCTACTTTCAGGATTTGTCGAAACTAAGAAGCATTAGAAATTTTAAGGTTTGTATTCGTTTCCGTAACTATTTCGTCATCAACTGACGAACATGGTCTTCCGGCAATGCCGCCGCGTGTATCATCTTGGTTCCGTAGCGTATAAGGGAGTGAACGCTCCATCATGGTTCGTTTTCTTGATTTTGGTCTATTTGAAAAAAACAATAAATATTCGTTTTACAGTTCGCAAATGAATCGCCTTCTGTTAGAAAGGCGTTTATTTCAAACAAGTCTACGCTATGCGGCCACTGATCGCAGCAAAGTGGAGTATACCCTGAAAATGCTCAAGGAAGATCTGCTTCGTCAAGACGAAGAAGCTCGGAAGCGTAAATTAGTAGGTTTTGCGTTTTTGTTCCCATTGATTCTTTATTAGCATTGTATTTGTCAGATGAAGAGTAAAACTCAAAGAAAAGTTTGAGGTAGATGTCGGTCAGACTCTGCGATTGCATCGCGCGATACAATCCGATTCAGGCGTTTTGTAGTGTTCTCTGGGACTCTCGCATACGCACACTATTACAGCATCTCTGCTTTCTTTCCTTCCTTCGAAAGGCTTAGTCCCAGCAATGCGCTTTTCTGTCTGGACTCGCACTCGTTGGTTGACCGCTGCCCCGTAACCTCCGAGCAATCGGCGAACGAACTGTCTCTGTTGCAATATTCACACTTGTCCAGTTTCAACGAATCTAAAACTCACTGAATCACTGACTCAAAGAATAAATATTTAGGTTGTCCCAGTAGTAATGTCGATCTTTTTCGAAGATAAAATTTTCTTCTGAATCCCCAAGTGGTTTTACACCATGTCATACAATTCGAAAGAGAATTGTCCGCTCTACAATTAACTTTGTTCTTATTCCACATTTGTAACAGGGTCTTTAAAGGTTAGGCCTGCGAAATGGGAG